ATCTTGAATCATTGGTAATTTATCCAGGTGAAGAAGCAAAAAGACAACATTTTGAAAAACTGTTGAGTCATCGTCGATTAAAACAAATTGTCTTGTATTATGGTAATAACGTAGATATTAAAAGTTTTTATGATGAGCATGTAAAGAAAAATAAAGGAGTAATATATACAGAATTTTGGACCGGTAGATTTATTGTAATGGGTGCTGATTAGATAATTAATGTGATGATAATAAACATTTACTTTTTACTAACTACTATTTACTGTTTATTTTTTTCCTAATCATATTATATATTTATACGCATTTATTTAATATATATATATTTTCGTTTGTATAATAATAATATTGTTAATTGTTAGCATAAATAATTTTTTGTAATTAAAAAACCCATAAATATAGGGATGTTAACGGTCCGGTCCAGACTGAATGGACCGCGGTCTGGAGCGTGGACCGAGTCGGTCTGGTCATGGGTATTAAAGACCGTTTGGACCGTTAAATTTTTTTTTTATCATAAAAGCATTTATTTTCAATTTTATTTGTTAAAAATATTATTTTTATTATCACAACACAACTCCAAATTATTAATACCGTAAAGTTACAAAAGATAGTGTCTGTGACATTTCCTTTTTATAGTTTGTCACTCGCAATTCATTATATCAAATGCCACTATTTTATAGAAAATTGTTATTTGTCACGGTTATATCTTTTGGAACTTTACGGTATATTCAAAAAAAAAAGAATATATTTTTATATAAATCAAAATTCATTCATTGCCTCTATGAATGCCCATTCCTTCTGATACAATTCATCGAAATATTCGTTTTATTTGAATTATTATTTGTTTTATCTGTTTTATTCGAATCATTTGTTTATTCGAATCAATTATTTTACGAATCAATTGTTTTATTCGAACCATTCATTTGTTTTATTCGAATCATTTGTTTACAAGTCACTCCTGTTATAACGACACTCTCCATGCAAGCAAAAAATATCAGTATAACGAAATTACCATTATAACGGGAATTCATATAAAAGTCATTTGATTTTATAATATAGTTTTATTTTATTTTTTTTTTGGAATTACTTATATTTGTTTATATGTTTTATTCGAATCATTCATTTGTTTTATTCGAATTGATTGTTTTTATTCGAATTACTTGATTTATTCATTTTATTTTTATTCGTTTTGTTCGTTTTATTCAAATTACTTGAATTATTATTATTTGTTTTATCTTTATTCGAATCATTGGTTTTATTCGAATCATTTATTTTATTTGAATTACTTGATTTATTCGTTTTATTTTTTATTCGTTTTATTCGAATTACTCGATTTCATTTATTTTATTCATTTATTCGGTTTATTCATTATTCGTTTTATTCATTTTATACGTTTATTTGTTTTATTCATTTATTCTTTTTCATTCGTTTATTTGTTCTATTCGGATAGAAACCTCAAGTTTGGTTGGACTACGGTCCTTTGATTAGACTGATGGTCTTTGGACCAGACCAGACCGTTAACAACCCTACATAATAATAAATATTTAAAATGGAATACTCATCTCGGTTACACGAATCCCAACCCAGAACCCCCATTATTGGTAGAAAATAAGGAAATCTTATCTTAAAAAAACCTTGT